GGATTCGCTGTGTTTCCAGTTCCTATCTGTAGAAGGTAGTGGTTTATAAGAGACCTTTGTAGGCCTTAAGGAGGGTAGCCTAGCAATTATATTGCCTGTTTTCATAAGCTTACCTATCCAATGTCAATCTAGATCCTGACTTACAGTGACCCTGTAGGACAGAGTAGAATTGCCCCTTTGGGCTACGGAGGTTGTACATCTTTGTTTTGTTTTTGAGGTTGTAAATCTTTACAGGAGCCGAAAACCTCATCTTTGTCCCTTGGAGAGGCTGTTAAGTTGGAACTGGTGACCTTGAGAAATAATGTGCTAGTTCAAAGTCAGTGTTGTAACAGCCATGGGAAATTATGGTGTGTCAAATTAAATTTATAGTGGTTTGTGTGTTGTTGGATGCTGAACGCTATGTCATTTCTAATACCAGCAAGGTGACCCAAAGTGACTATCCTTGCTCCTAGAGGCAAGGATGATGAAACTTAGTCTCATGTATTTTGGATATGTTATCAGGAGAGACAAAGTCCCTGGAGGAGATCACGCCACGCTTGGTAGAGGGGCAGAGAAAAAAAGGAAGGCCCTCAACAAGATGGATTGACACAGTGGCTGCAAGGAAGGGCTCAAACATAATAAGCACTTGTGTGGTTGGCTCACAACCAGGCAGTGTTTCCTTCTGTTGTACATAGATAGAGTTGTTAGGGCTCAGAACCAACTCCACAGGTCTCAACAAGAACATTATATGCTTATATATTTTTTATTTTGGAGGGAAAAATATTGTCAATGACGAAGCAACTCTTTCCTTTTTTTAAAACAGTACTGACCAAAGAGGAGAATCTCTACTCAGTCAGGAATGTTGAGGAGATAGTCCCAGGAGAAACGGGGCCATTTTGCTAGAAACCATAGCCATTATGATGTAAGTCAAGGAAGGGCAGACTATTATTTCGGGGGAAGAGATACAGAAAATTAATCAATCCATTGCCAAAAGGAATCGGTTGTTTTCCTCCTCTCAACTTTCTCCACAGCTTGTAGGGGTTTTTCGCATGTCTATAACCGAGGGCGCATGCAGCCTTCCGTGTCCAAAGAGAGGGCACTCTACTTTCTATTCCTCACTCCCTTCCACCTCTGTCCAGTGTCGCCTTCTCGGGTCTGTTTTCCCCATCGTCTTCCTCGTGAATAATCTCAATATGATTGTTGTATCAAATCGCCCGCCATGTGGCCTGGGTGCCTTATGGCGACCTTGACTACCATCTGGTGGAAGGCTCGGAGGAGGGGGAGCTGAGTTCTGAGGAGGACCCCGCATAGGAGGTAGCGTCAGGAGGCGGCGACCATCGCGACCCACTCAACGCGGCCTTTGTACCGAGATTGACAGGAAACGCACCAACGGCCTTTCCCCGAGTGGCTTGCCCAATCTCGCGAGCTTTGGACGTCAATTGAGCGGGGGAGTCCGGTGGGGGATGGGAACGTTTGTGGCGCAATCATTGCGCGAGATTGGGCCATAGTCTCTGGGCGGGTGGAGGGGGGAGGTGCGCGGTGGCTTAGTTAGATCTCGCGATGTTTCGGGGACGTCGGGCTGGCACTCGGGAAGATTCTCGCGAGAGCCCGTGCTGAAGGCTCTGTGCGTCCCCGTGTGTTTGTGTGTATGTGTATTGGTGAATGTGAGTACGGAGAAGCAGCGGCCGCCATTTCAGGGAGCTTGCGGACGCTGTCGCAGGGGAGGATCCTGAGCTGCCGAAGCCGCTGTCCTGCTGTCCCGCGCGGGCTCATTTAATTCTATTTGTTTTTTAGATTCGTTCGGGCTTAGCAGCCCTAGGAGCCCGAAATTCGGGCTGGGCGTTACCGCGGCCTGGGCCTAGCGTCTTTAACAGTAGCAACAGCGGCGGCGGCGGCGGCGGCAGTAGAAGACAATTGTTCCCGAAAACGAGCCTCACAGGAGCCCGAAAGCCCGCTCAGGTAAGGGGGCGGAGGGGATCGCGTTTTGTCTTTTGAAGGCTGAAGGGGCCCTCTGCAGGGGAGGTTTTAGTGCCGGGGGAGGTGGCGCTCCAGAACTCGGCCCCCCCGTCAGCGACCGCGCCCTTCTTTTCCGGTTGTGCGGAATCGCGGTGTGGACGGTAGCTTGGGCCCCGAGGAGGTCTCCGGTCAGCCTCTGAAAGGCATGGACTTGCCGCGACCTCCCAACATGGCGCCAGCCGAGCGCCTCCATGGCACACCGCCCCTCCCAACGGAGGGAGTTTCCCTTTGCCCCTAATATGGCAGCGCGGCTTCTGCGCGCAGAGGTGCTGTGCCAGGCCCTTGTGCTCGACGCCGCCGGCTTCCGTTCTCTCGGAGTGTATTGTAAGCTTTTTCCTTTTTTTTTTTTTTAATCAAGCTTTGGGTGTCAGAGGCATTTCAAATAACTTAAACATAAGCCAGGTCTGGTAAGTGCGTCTCAGCACCTCGGATTTTTCAGGGTTTTTTTCGGGAGTTTTGGAGGATATTCGGTAAGCGAAAATAAAGCAGAATTAACATTAACAAGTTGTGTTTTTTTCCTAGGCGTTTGGAGAAAATGGCAGACGATATTGATATTGAAGCAATGCTTGAGGCTCCTTACAAGAAGGTGAGAGGAAACATGTCTGTGAGGTTTATATATTTCTTAATTTAGCATATTCACGAAACTACTGCTGAAATGTAAACTAACCTCCCCGGAGCCCTCTTGATTTACCTTATCAGAGATGCATTACGTATAACTTACAAAAGTAAATATGTGCTATATATGTAATAATATTGTGCAGTAGTTTCACTTCAGCGTGATGAATAAATGCCCATCTATCTCTCTTTGTAGACTTGCCTAACGATATCTCACCTCTACTCCCATGAATTCACCTTTGATTCCAGTGTGAACTGTCAATCATAAGGTAGTAATTGAGTGACTTATCGCTGTACCGTGGTCCCCTAGGTAAAATGACTCAACTAAGAATTACCAGCTCCAGTTTTTGGTATAGCAAAAAGGTGAATGTAGTGGTTTGGGAAAATAGCAGGGGTCCAAGAATAACGAAGCATAACCAGTCTGGCAAGTAAATCTTGAAATACAATAACTTATCAGAAGAAATGGGAGAGATTTGATTTTTTTTTTTTAAACCTAAGACTGGTGACAGTAAATCTTAAACAGGCAGGTGGAGATCTGCTGAATTAAAGATTAATAAAATTCTTGGATCCCTGAAAAAAAATTTTTTCTAAAGCAGAAGAGGCAGTATCACAGTTTAGAGTCACTTAATGCTGTTGTACTGTTCTCTATTCCTCTTTTCCAGGCCCTGCCATAATATTTCACACTAAAAACTACAAAGGAATTATTTTGGCGAAAACTTAGTCTTTGACCCATTTCACTATAGCAGTAAAAGTAAACTGTCTTCATTCTTTCACCCTTGTTGGTGAAAATAACAGTATGCATGCATTATCTTATCACTGGTTTCACAAACTGTAAACTTTTAAGTTAGCAGTTATACTCCTATTGCTGATGTAATTAAACTTTCAAATAAACATTGCACTAAACCTTTGAAAAACAATACATTTGTTTCGTAGTGGATAGCACGACCATGTGGTACCAATTTGGATGAATTCTTGGTAGCTTTAAATAGTTGATGTAGTTTGTAATGCTTAGATTCTTTCAGAGCTACTCTTATGTTAATGTTAAGAGTCTTGTGACTTAGTTTAACATGGATGTAATTCCATGTAAACAGGTATGGAAATAGGAAATGTTTAGGTTGGACTGGTGGATTATTAATTGACTTTCTTGGGTTCTTGGGAGTCAACATTACTAAAGCAGTGTGAATCCCTGTTTGCTTCAGGGCGAGATGTGTGACAGAGGTGGCATCAAGCTCTTACAGTCCCAACCCTCCAACGGAAATGGGCGAAGATCTCAGGAATGGCATCGGTCACAGGAAATCGATAGTGGCTGGCTGCTAGCATGGCCACTTGGGGCTTAGGCAGAAATAGAGCCATGGTACTGACCAAAGGGACCATAGCACACGGAGAAAAAAAAACTCAAAACAGGACTTCGTTCATGTCTTACAGAAGTTTTATTTAACCACTTCAACAATGTAAATCTGATTAATATCTAAAATATGTAAGAATATAATTTGACATGTTAATGTGAAAACCTTTTTTTTTTGTATTTCAATGATTTAACTAAGCAACAAAGTGGTTAAACACACCCATCTAAATTTTTTCATAGCCTTCCATTTCAAACTATAAATAAGTAATTAGTTTTAAAATTGTTTTGTATTTTCTTATTCCTATTCCCTTTACCCTTTGACAACTTGAAATGTTTCCACTTCGTCCTCATGATGTTCTTCTATCAACCCTGCTTAGGATGAGAACAAGTTGAGCAGTGCTAATGGCCATGAAGAACGTAGCAAAAAGTAAGTTTAAACATTGGCTGTGGGGGTGGGTGAGGGAGGAGATTTCTGTGATTGAGGTGTGTTAGATTCTGTGCCTGTGTCTAAAGTATCAAACCATAGATTTTCAATGACTTTTTTCTGCCCTGGGGTTTAGGGGTGGGAAAAAGCAGCAGGCTCTTTTAGAAGCCTGGCTCTTCTTTTATGGATAAGAAACTTTTTGCTTTCGAATGATGAGCTCTTAGACTTAATATTAGGATATAGTTGAAAAGTCTTTTTAGAGACATACTCCCCAAGTTCATCTGAGTTCTGTATTTTAAGTTTGCCTTTTGTCTTAAATTTGACAACTTCGGCTTAATATTTCGTGTTGTCGTCTCCCTTCAAACCCCCCCTTCCAAAAAAAAACAAACAACCCAAAACAACAATACACTGAACATAAAAGGGTAAGAAAAGTTAAATGAGAAAAGGTAATAAACAGGCCAATGAAAGCAATTTGGCCTCCTAAAGGAGCCAGAACTGATTCACTTCTTGGTACTTAAAGGCCCTTTTTGTAATAATGTTTCAGACTCAAATTTGTGGCTCTCATGTTTTAACGTATTTTAAACTTGACCAAGCTTAATATTGTGAGAATAGAGTTTTACAAAGTTGAATGCTTGTGTAACTTAATTGAGTTAATTGAATAATCCAAAATTGAAATCTCTGTTGTAAGCTAATACAGAATGCAATAAATAAAATTTACTTCGTTTAATCCAGATCCGCTTTCTAAGGTTGAATACTATCAATTTTGTAGGTTTCATTTCACCTCTCAGACAATGACTCTTATTTAATGTGGTCATGAGTATTATTTCATTAGCCTGTTATGTTACATTAAAACATTTTGTCATGTTCATACTCCATATGAAAAATGATTTTAAAAGAATCTTGGTTCTTTAACTTTTTTCTACTAAGAGCTCAAAGTGCTTTGTAATATACTAACCTCATGCATCCTCACAACTGTTTTGGGTAGGTTGATAAAATTTCATTAAAATGACAAAATGTTGGATTGGGTTTTTTGATATTATCAAACTGGTATTAAGATTTCCAGAAGCTACCAGTGTATGGTACAGCAATAGATTTAAAAATTGTCTATATTCCAGCACAAGCTTGGTTGGGAGTCTGATAAGTTTCTCGAAAGTTACAAGGGACGTGGGAATTGGATTTGGATTCTTCTTGAACTATGGTCCTAGGTGATTTTAAAAATTGCAGTGTTTATATTATCTCGTTTTAGACCTTTTTCCAAAATGAGATTTTTGATAGAGTTTGTGTAACTGGAGTTACACAGGAACCTAGGAAGTGGCTTGTAAACTGATACTTCCCTAAATGATGGTGTGCATTAAGCATAAATAAAGATTTCACATAAGGTTGAAAATGAAGGGTATATATTTTGAGGCCTTGTGCCTTGTTTTGCTGTGTTATTTTCAGATGTTATACCTTGCTACTCATTCATATATATCCCCTCATTTGATCCTTGTTTTCATTCAGCATGCAAGCTTAAGACTACTTTGCTTTCTGAATCATAGAGGAAATTGAGGAACAAGTTAAAGTTGATATTCAGTGGCATGCAATATAAATAAAGGGCCTTATGAAACTGATATAATTGGACAATTGATTGTAAGCTTTATAAGTATTCCCAATTGCAACCGTTATTTACCTTTTAAAATGTAGAAAATATTTTTTCAGACTTCTTATAGTTGATTATTTGCTCAATTGGGAACTTTTCAATTTTGTGAAGAGAATTTATCTTTGAAATTAAGTTATTGGGGGGGATTATATTTAAGGTTAGATAAAATATAAAAGCGAAAATAATCTGTGCTATAGTATTCAGTATAAAGTAAAGATTGTAACCAAAGATTCCATGTTGTGTTTTTCATTTTGAACTTTTAAAAGTGTTTGGTATATAGTTTTAAAGGCACATTCTGAGAAATTGGGAGTTGTCTATTAGAATATATGTTTTCTATGTAAAAAGTTATTCTGATTAACACAATCGATTCCCAGTAAGATTAATAAGAACTAGGTCTTAATGTATTGCAAATTGGTTGCCTGATAACAAACTGGGGAAGAGCTACTACTGTGAGTATGGCAGAACCACAAAACTTGAAATAGTGGGCTTGCCTTCATTAGACTATTGTTTGTAAGTGTAACCAGGTTTACAAAGACTAAACTATAAGCATCCACCTAGTTAAGTTCTTCAGTGAATTAGCCCCCCCCCAAAAAGGGATGGCGTCTTTAATGGCAACAGTTAAAATATATTGGCTACTGTGGTGTGGATTTTCTATACATTTTGGAATAAATGACTTTTCTATTTTTTTCTTATTTTCCAGAATGCTTTGCATTTAAATTTTAGATCTTCTTACATGGAAGAGGTCAAATCCAGTTATAGCAAAACACCTTTACAGCAGAGGCCATATAACCCAAAAGTCCAAAGGCCCAGCCCAGTGGACCATTTACTTCAATGATGTTCAGTACAAAATTCCACTGCCACTAAAGAGTTTGGAAAGTCCCTTTTAAAGTTGTAACAGGATTTGACTTATTAGTGTGGATTTTAATAACCTTTCTGTAGTCAAACTATTACATGTTCTTTGAAGCTGGAATTTGTTAGAGAAGTATACTGGTTTCTTCAAGTTTTACCTTTGTTTGGTCTTTTATGCAGATGATTCTATTTTTGAATGTTTTAGTATGCTGTCGTAGGCAAGCTGTCTTTTTACCTCTCTGGGGTTGCCTTCAGATGTGGGTGGGGATTCACTTATGAAAAGTCCTAGGAAGATCTCACAGATCTCGCCATCCAGTTTCTGAGTCCTCTGGCAGAATCAGTGCCCCACGGTCTGTTAGGGAGGTTGGCTGCCTCTCTGCTGTGGGCTATTTATGAGCAGAGCAAAAAACTTTTTCATCTTTATGGATGATACGGTTACTTTTTTACACTTTCCCCTAATTGAATTACTTAAATGTAGGGCTTTTGGTTTTGGTTACTCAGAATTCTTTCACTTAAGAGGTAATAGTGTCAAGTTTTTCCGGTGGCAAAGTTAGAATGTTGCCTGCTGTCTTTTAGGCATTGCTTTGATAATTTCTATAATAATGATGAGTGTAGCCTAATTTTCTGACAGTCAGGTGGATTATCTTGAAATTTTAGACAAGTTTCTGCCTCCTTGGAAAGCTCTACATCTCCTTGTGATTGGAGTGTGGGTTTCAAGATTCCAGAAGGTGGGTGTCTTCATTTTCTATTTTCAATGCACTCTAAGATGACCTGCTTACAGGTTCTCTGAGGCAGACCTCACTTGCTGTTGTGCTAATGATGTTTTTGATAAGGACTAGCTAATTAAATTTCCAAATAATTTTGAAGTGTCAGAATGTTGAATGATCATTCAGCCGCTACAGATTGACATTTTAGTGGAATAACTATTTTGAAATGTCTTTGAATCTATATGGAAATATCTGAAGGCACCTCTGAAATTATGGGTGATAAGAGGTAATTATGAAATGGTGGTATACAGGATAGAATGCACAAATGAATAGAAAGATACTGACTGGCTCTTTTTCAGAGTTAATTTTTGGTAAGATTTATAAAGGTGTGGATTCTTGTTTTTGATTACCACCCACAGGCTTTGTAAAACTGGTTTAAAAACTGCATACTCCATTTCCTGCTGTAGTCCCTATGAAATAAAGCATTCGAAATGGTCTAAGGATTCTGAAATTGCATTCTATTGCATTAGTTCTTAATAGCCTTTGTCATTTTATTCTGCTTGGGAGAATAAAAGGATGATTAGATGGCACTTGCACAACTTTAAATATTCTGTTTTTGGGTGGGTCAAAATAGGTTTACTTAACATTAATATATTAATAGACATGAACTGCATAATAGTGAGTACATTTTAACTGATTTTGTGATCTCAATGACTAGTATTTATTGGCCTGTCCTATCACTGGTCAAGTTTTCTGTGTAAGTTGAGGTTTTGATATATATGCCAGCAAGTTCTCCTTAAAATTGATACCCCAGAGATGATGGCGATCCCTACTGTTATGGGATCATCCCTCCTCTACTGTTATGGGATAGTCCCTCTAAAATACTTCTCAGCGACTAGCTTTTAGCAGTAAAGGCAAAAGTTGGGTGTTGGCTTATTGTATTTGGAATTTTTAAAGAGTTACAAGTGTACCACTATGTGATTGTAAACATAAGAAAATTTACAAAAGGATAAATTTCTGACCACAAACAGAAGTAAATCTTAATGGATTCCTCAAAAGTAAATAATGGTAATTTTTTTCTTTGTAGGAGGAAAAAAAGCAAGAGCAGAAGTCGTAGTCATGAGAGGAAGAGAAGCAAAAGTAAGGAACGGAAACGAAGTAGAGATAGAGAAAGGAAAAAGAGCAAAAGCCGTGAAAGGAAGCGAAGTAGAAGCAAAGAAAGGAGGCGGAGTCGCTCAAGAAGTCGAGATCGCAGATTCAGAGGCCGCTACAGAAGTCCTTAGTATGTACTTAAAATAATGATGAGTTTGGTTAGAAATAGCAACTCAAATTGAGATTTGAATTGTAAAATTAGATCTTTAATTTTATTTGGTTAGAAGGTAAACCAAGTTACATTGGCGTTTGAAAGACAGTAAAATAATTACAGGTAACTTGTTTTACTAAAGCTTTTATTGTTAGTCCATCTAAATATTTTAATTTTATACAAAATATTCTAGTTTTACAACAGTACAGATTTGATGATTTTTATAGCTAGATAGAATTCAGATCCGAATATTTAAACAATAAAGGTGTGTTCTTTATTGAATATATTTAACAAACTTTGATGGTTTCTCTCAGGCTCTCGTCAACAGAAACACCTTGATAGGTTTATTGTAGGTTACTTAACAAACTTTGGTGCTTTCTCTCAGGCTCTCTGTCAACAGAAACACCCTGATAGGTTTATTGTATGTTACTTGATAATTTTGGGGCTAATTACATGCTACAATTCTCTATTGATAGATATATAGTAAATGAAAAGTGCTCTGAAAATCAAAATGTAAATTTTAATGTTATTAAAAATGAGTTGGAATTTAGATGACATAAACGTACAGATTCGTTAAAGTCATAGACAATTATATTAGCAACTTGGAAAGAACCTATTTATAAAACCTAATTAAAGAGAATAGCAATCCTCTTTTAAACAATCCTAATGGTAAACCATTTTGGAATATGTTCAGATTTCTAGCCTTAAACTTGAATGCTTAAGAGCATGGAGTTCTAGACAAAACAGACATGAATCAGTTACTGACAGGTTACTTACACTTCTAACCTTTTATTATCTTACTCTTTTAAGACAGGGAAATATCTATCAGACAAGTTATCAATGAAAAGCGATTATAAGTAAATGACTTAGATTGATTGTGTTCATTAAATGATTAGTAGTCATTAAACCAGTGTTTAACTGGTTTGTTTTTGCCCCGCTTTGTTTTTTACTTCAAAATAAGATATGTGCAGTGTGCATAGGAATTTGTTCATAGTTGTTGTTTTTTTTAACTATAGTCCTGCTTTAAACACGTAGGAGTTGTTAGCACTTTGAGTTCTGAGCCTGACTCATTTTTAAAATATAAAGAGTGAACTATTAGTTTCTCAGGTTCCTCTTGTCATATTATTCTATAAATATTAAAGGTGAAAAGCACAATGCTGGTTCTGAATTTTCAATTTTAAATGTTTTAATTCTCAGCTTTTTGTCAAAGAAATTTTGAGATTTTCCACATTCATAAGTTGGATTTAAAAAATCTTACCACAGTGAACTACATGGGTTGATTACTAAATTAAGAATACTGTTAACTCTTGACTGAGAGATATCTGAAATCTATCTACTTGTGTTACTATCCCAGTCTTATTTTAAAATTATTAGTGCTTATAAATATGAAAGAAACTAGTAGGGGTTTGTTTGAACGTCTTAATTAAGCCTATAGAGGGTATATATACTTTTTGAAATACAAACAGCTTTATTGATGATAACATCAGAGTCCAGTAGTTTAACATCTAGAAAATAATTGCATCACCAATTTCAGAACATTTTCTTCCTTGCACTCATTATTAGCTCCTCAATCGTCCCTTTCTAACCTCTCCCCTACCGTAGCCCCAAGAAACTATTAAGCCAGTTTGTGTCTCTAATGATTTAATTATCCTAGATTCCATATAGAAAACAAAAACCAGTAATACATGAAAGAAGCCCATTGGTAGCCTATGTGATCCAAGTATTGAAGACAACTGGATTTTATTGTATTAAATGTTCTGAGATCCCAGTTTACAAAACGTATGGATGACACTGAAAGCCCAAAATCCATTTGCAGATTCCCCTCTAGTAAATCCCATTGACCACTGACTAAGATGTGATTAGCTTTGTTATCAGAAGGCATTGGAAAGTGGATTGATGCAGATAAAGTTAAATTTAAGTTTTGACACATTATTCCTTTGACCCATTTAAAATTTTAGTTTTTATTTTCTATACTTAATTGCTAGTCAAAATTGCAAAAGACCTGTGTTTAAGTACTTTTACCTGAACCTCCTTGAATTTTTTAGGTAGGTGTATAGGCTCGGGAAATTAATCCAAATGTGGATCACAGACTGACATTTTTCATTTTGCCTACCTTTCTGGAATATGAATTTAGGATGAGTACTTAGGAACATTGGCTTGTCCCCTTAAACTTAGTCTGGTCTTTAAAAATAAAAAATAAAAAGGTGATTATGAAGAATTTGTGAACCTGTACTAAATATTTTACTAAACAATCCTTTGGCATAGTAAATTGATGTATAATGCACAATTTGGCATGTTAGTGGGAAAATTCCAAGTTTCATGACTAAAGAATTACTTCCTTTAGTTTAACAATAAGGCCTTGACTGGGTAGTTTTAGAAGATAGTTATTCCAATTAAAAAATATGTTCATTTGTGGTTTTTTAAGGCCCTAAAGAAAAATTAGGGCTATTTCATATGAATGCATATATCCCATTAATAGAATTTTTCATGTATTTATATACTCCTATTTGAAGAAGAATACAATTACACACACAAGATTGTTAGCCCTAGTTACTGCTAGTGTGAGATAATAGGGGCACTAGCCAAGTTAAAACAATTTTTTAATCATTAAAATTTTCATAGATGTCAACAATATTTTAGAATAAAATTAGATATGAGCATTTTCAGAATCATAAAATTCTTTATGGCTATAACCTTTGGCCGTGGCACCTTTCAGTGCTCCAGGATAGATAAATTAGGATGGCAGCTAGCATGGGATAGTGGTAATTAAAATAATTTTTTCCACTTAAATTGTGGGAAAGATAAACCGCCTGAAAAATGTTAAGCTTGCTGGAGCGTATTAACGTAATAGTAGCGTATTAACATAATAGTAGCAAGGCCCTAAATCTGTAACTACTGTGATTTTTGTGTCTCCTTTTTAGCTCCGGACCAAAATTTAACAGTGCCATCCGAGGAAAGATTGGGTTGCCTCATAGCATCAAATTAAGGTTTCTAAACATACTTCTGAATTGTTTAAATTGATTTTCAAGAGATCAGTGTTGTGTACTTGTGTTGCTTATTTCTGAAACTTTGAAATTTTACAGCAGACGACGTTCCCGAAGCAAAAGTCCATTCAGAAAAGACAAGAGCCCTGTCAGGTAACTATACTCTTCTTCTCAAGCTAAATGTAATTTGTAACTTACAAATATCTTGCTTATTTGTAAATTTTATTGTAAATTTTGACTTTTCTGGTTTATTATATATGACTATATTATATATGTTACATATGACATGACATTTATATATGACACTTAGCTTAATTTTTTTTTTTTAACTATACATCTCTCAAACTAGCCCGGATGGCATAGTGAGATTAAAATAGATGGTTTGGGGCTGCTAATAGAAAGGTGAGAGTTTATAAACTCAGCAGATCTGAAATGATTATATTATCTTTCTGTTAAAAAAATACTCGTCATTAGTAAACCATTTTGATTCTGGAATCATTTTTGTTCTTAAATTGGTAGCATTCTTTATCATCATCTGTGGCTTCCCTTCAAGGGCATCTTTTATCTTTGACAGTTTTCTTTCCTTTTTTTTTTTTTAAGCATTTTATTAGGGGCTCATACTATTATCACAATCCATACACACATCAATTGTGTAAAGTGCATTTGTACTTCATTCTCAAAACATTTTCTCTCCACTTAAACCCCCAACATTAGGTCCTCATTTTTCCCCTCCCTCCCCGCTCTCCCCTCCCTCATGAGCCCTTGATAGTTTATAAATTGGTATTTTGTCCGACATCTCCCCTCATCCCCTTTTCTGTTGTCCATCTCCCAGGGAGGAGGTCACACATAGTCCCTTGTAATCGGTTCCCTCCTTCCTACCCACTCTTCCTCCACCCTCCCTGTTTCGCCACTTACACCACTGGTCCTGTAGGGCTCATCCGCCCTGGATTCCCTGTGTTTTCAGTTCCTATCTGTACCAGTATACCTCCTCTGGTCTAGCCAGACTTGCAAGGTCGAATTCTAATCATGGTAGTGGCTCCTCTCCTCCCCGAGACCCCTCTGCAAGGGGATCTCCAGTGGCCTACTAATGGGCTTTGGGTCTCTACTCCGCACTCCCCCCATCATTCACTATGGTAGGATTTTTTGTTGTGATGATGCCTTATACTGATCCCTTCGACACCTCGTGGTTGCATAGGTTGGTGTGCTTCTTCCATGTGGGCTTTGTTGCTTCTGAGCTTGATGGCCGCTTGATTACCTTCAAGCCTTTAAGACCCCAGACGCTATACTTTTTGATAGCCGGGCACCATCAGCTTTCTTCACCACATTTGCTTATGCACCCATTTGTCTTCAGTGACATGTTCGACACCTCGTGATCACACAGGCTGATCTGTTGTTCCATGTGGGCTTTGTTGCTTCTGAGCTAGATGGCCGCTTGTTTACCGACAGTTTTCTATGTCGTAATTTTATTGTAGAATTCCAGGATTCACTGAAAATGAAAACTTTGTAGTTTTAAAAGTTTCAACATATTGAGGCTTTTTTATAGATGATTTCTCATAAGAAAAATGTTTTATAGATAAAGCATGATTTTGTTTAAAAAAATCAATACCTAGGAAGTCCAGACACGTGCTTCATACCCATCCCAAAAGCATGTTTAAACTTAGTTTTGTTGGGTAGGTGCTATTTTTCTATGATAACTTATTTTCATTATATTTAAAATCATGTATTATGCTGTCTCTGATCACTTATGATTCTTCATTTTATGGTCTGGGCAGTGTGGCTAGGTAGGGATTATTTTGTAAGACGTCATTGAACTATCAGGCTTCAATTAATTAACCTTTTAGTAAAATGTCCATCTTTTAGGGGGATAACAATGGTTTTTCTCTTGGTACTTTGGAAATTAAGATTGTCTTAAACAGTCAAGATCAGCTTTGAAATTGGATTCTTCTATTTTATTTTAGGGAACCTATTGATAATTTAACTCCTGAAGAAAGAGATGCCAGGACAGTTTTCTGCATGCAGCTGGCAGCAAGAATTCGGCCAAGGGATTTGGAAGAATTTTTCTCTACAGTTGGAAAGGTAATCTTTAGGAACAATAGAAATGTGGAGAATGGCATACAATTTTAATTGTCAGTAAGTTTAGGAAGAAAATTCCTTAGCATAAATTACTGGACGTTAATGGTATTGGAATTGTTGTTTGTCCTACACAGAAGTAGGCTTCAATTTTTTTTCCATAAATTTATATAACATTTTTTACTGCATTTTAAAATGACACCTGTAAGTAGTTTTTAAAATAGATAACATATAAAGGGACCTAGTGTTTCCATGGAAACAGTATAATCATAATAGTGAATTTTTGTAGGGATTCATAAGCCTCTTGGTTACTGTTGGAATTAGGACTGAGAATTTTGTGTTGTGTCTTTTTAGGTTCGTGATGTGAGGATGATTTCGGATAGAAATTCAAGACGTTCCAAAGGAATTGCTTATGTGGAGTTTGTTGATGTCAGTTCAGTGCCTCTAGCTATAGGATTAACTGGCCAGCGTGTCTTAGGTGTGCCAATCATCGTACAAGCATCACAGGTA